GTGTGTGTGAGCGGGTGAGTGTGTGTGTGAGTGAGTGTGTGTGTGAGTGAGTGTGTGTGAGCGGGTGAGTGTGTGTGTGAGTGAGTGTGTGTGAGCGGGTGAGTGTGTGTGTGAGTGTGTGTGTGAGTGTGTGTGTGAGTGAGTGTGTGTGAGCGGGTGAGTGTGTGTGTGTGAGTGTGTGTGTGTGTGTGTGAGCGGGTGCAGGTGCGCATGCCACAGCGTACACAGGGAAGTCTTAAGGACAATGTCATGAGTTCTCTCCTTCAGCCATGTGCTCTGCAGATTGAATCTGGATTGACCTGAGGTCCTCAGGCTTGTGGGTCAAGTGCTTTTAAAACGTGCTGAGACAGCTTTCTGCCCATATTTATGGTTGTTTTGACAAAAAACTTTGAAACATTATAAAATGTCAAGCAATTATGAAAGTTTCCTATGTGCTAGATAGGCACCATTACAAGTGCTTTTACATGGATGAATTTGGACCTTTGAGGCAGAATGGAGCATTACTGATTTATAGAGTAGGATGTTAAACGCAAGGTGTCTAAGGTATGCAAAACGGCACTATTAATTTATACAACATATAAATTAAGCCATAAAAATGTATTGATTGACTTACTGTGATATTTGAATTGTATGGGAAGCTGAAAACTACAGCTTGCACGTCTATAATCAAAGAATGCATTAGCCAACCCTGTTTTGCTGACTGTCCGCTCTTTCACTGATTTCACTGTGGGAGGGAGGAGAATATTGACACCAGTACTTTGTCCCCATTCTAGAAAATGACAAAAGATCATTTGATAGAAGAGAAAACATCTCTGCAGAAAAGCCTGCTTTACTATGAAAGTCAACATGGAAGGCCGGTAATTTCTCCCCCACTAAGACGATTTGCTTTTTTCCTCTTTAAGCAGACCATGCTACTAGTAGCACACCACAGCCCATGCTGTGTCTGCACTCTTCAGTGCTTTTATCCAGCATTGTCCCTAGAGTTGGGAGATCACCTACTAACTTAAAAATTAAATTTGGGGTGAGGGGATCATATTAATTTGTTTTTGGTGTCTAGATTTCTAATAGTAAGGTTACTTTGCTTCACTTTTTTTTTTTGGCTTCAGGTGACCAGGGAAGAAAGGCACATTGTTAAGCCTCTGTATGATAGATACAGACTTGTAAAACAGATGCTGACAAGAGCTAGCATTACTCCTGTCCTTGTAAGTAAACTAAACAAATGTTTGGTTTTGTTTTTAAAGACAGAATCTCACTTTGTAGCCAAAACTGGCTTGGAACTCACTAGTCCAACCAAGCAGGACTCTTAAGTGGCATAGTTATAGGTGTACATTGCCGTGCCTAGCACAAGTATTTCTTCAGTTTATTTTGACAAAATATAGTTAAGAAAAGAAGGGTGATGAAACAAATTTTCATAATATTTTTGAGACACACATGACCAAGGCTGAAAAGTTGTTGTGATTATGAATTTAAAAGAGTAGGAGATGCCTATGACTATTTTCTCGGCACCTTGGTCAACACTTCCAGGCGTGTGGTATTAAATCCTAACAAAAAACACACGGGTTAGAATATGATGACCCTGAGATCCAGGTGGTGCTTTTGTATGCAAACTTACATAAACGGCAAAGTAGTACTTGTATGTTGTGCACCTCACCTAGCCTCTGCTTCAGTTCTTGCCTATGGATACTCTTGTACTGACCACCGTGAAGGTGTACCTCTAGTTGCATTGCAATATAAATGGGTTTTAAGCATTGATTTATGTAAATGTATACATGGTAAGAGTGGTGGTCAGAGGACAGGTTTAGGGGATCAGTTCTCCTACTACTCAGGTTTCCAGGGTTCAAACTCAAGGTAAAAAAAGCTTGGCAGTGAGACTGAACCATCTTGCTGATCCTATAAATGGGTTTTAAGAAAGAACCTATCAAGACAATACCTACTACCAGGTGTCTGGCACCCGCTTTTAATCCTAGCACTAGAGGCAGGCAATCTCTGAGTTCAAGACCAGCCTAGTCTACATAGGGAGTTCCAGGACAGCGAAGGCTACACAGAGACAGACCCTGTCTCAAAAAACAAAACTAAATTAATCAAACAATGCTAATTCACAGGGCCAGAGAGATAGTTTAGCAGGTAAAGGTGCTTGCCATCAAATCTGACCTGCTCTTCTGCACACCACACCCCTCTCTCTCACACATACATGACCACACACAAAATTAATAGAATAAGATACTTTACATGATGCTTATCTGTATTAGTGTATACTAAAACAAACACAAAATAGCTTATTTAAAATGGGGTCTTGCTGTACTGTCTAAGGTGATTTTGAGTTGTGAGCGTATGTGTATGATCTTTTAGCCTCAGCCATCTAAGTAGCAGGGACATTGAACATGCTGACGCGAAAAATGAAATTTATAATACTTAGATACAAGTCAGGACTATTCTTGGAGAATTACAAGTTTGATGCTAACTAGAGCAACTTAGCATGACACAGTCTTAAAACGTTCTTAAAAGTGGAGTGCTGGAATGTTGTTAGTGGGCTAATGATTATCTTGCGTGCTAGGATGAATAATATCTTAGGATTTGATTTAGTTTAGTTTTGCTTCTAAAGAAGAATTCGATGAGGTCCTGAGACTCCAAAATAAAGATGCTTGAGCTGGGTGTGGTGGCACATGCCTGTAATGATATCACATGAGAGGGCTGAGGCAGGAGATTCATAATCCACATATTCAGTCTGCTATGTAGTGAAACTCTGTCTCAGACAAAGGGCTGAACATCACACTGTGCTTGTGAATCTGCCGGGCTTTTCTGAACTATCAGTTAATACCCTTACTATATCATAAAAGTAAAATGTAAGAAAAGCGAGTCTAGTAAAGAATTTTTTTAAACATTTTTAAAGATGCTCTAAGATTTTGAAAATAGTTTTTATATATAGTTTTCTCTCTTTTTGTTTTTTTTGGGGGGGGTTGGTTTTGTTTTTTTTTGTTTGTTTGTTTGTTTGTTTGTTTTTTTGAGACAGGGTTTCTCTATGTTGATTTGGAACCTGTCCTGGAACTCATTCTTGTAGACCAGGCTGGCCTCGAACTCCCAGAGATCTACCTGCCTCTGCTTCCCTGGTGCTGGGATTAAAGGTGTGCACCACTACTGCCCAGCATTTATTTTTTTCATTTTTATTGAAAAAAATTTCAGACTGTATTTTGATTGTTCATTCCCTAAACCTCCCAGATCCTCTCCATCCTCCTAGCCCCCAACTTCATGGTCTTGCTTTTTCAAAAACAAAAGAAAAAAAAAGAAAAGAAAGAGAAAGAAAAAGAAAATAAGAAGAAAACAACAAAAACCAAAAAGTAGTTGGCCAACAGAAAACACACTTGATGTTTTTGTGTACTTTTGTTTTACTTTAGTATTTTTTTATCTTACTAATTTTCTTTTTGGTTTTCCTGTTTTGAGTTTTGTTTGCTTGTTTTCTGGGGGGCTGCTGGGGACTGAGTGAGTCTGTTGATGTACCATGAGATGGGTGTGAAGCAGCACTAACCTTTCAATCTGTGAACTTTGGAACTGGTGTTGCTAATTTTACAGGGATCTCCCTCCACAAAGCGCCGTGGTCAGATGTTACAGCCAATCATAGAAGGAGAAACAGCACATTTTTTTGAAGAAATCAAGGTAATTGTGTAGAAAAGTCATTTTTTAATTACATTGCTAACAGGAAAGTGGAAAGTCATGACCTAAGTGGCTCTACTTGGTCATCGTTTTAGGAAGAAGAGGAAGATGGTGTCAGTCTGTCCTCTGAGTTAAGTGACATCTTGAAAACAGCCATACACACACAGTCATCGTTGGAAAATTCAGAGTCTGATGCTGAAGAAAATCAAGAAAAACTGGCTCGGGATCTCCGCCTATCAAGTACTCGGGCAGCTTCTATGTAAGTACTTGGGTTTGTGATTTTAACTTATTTCATAATAAAACTTCCATATCAAGATATCCAGTATAAACAGCTGAATGCTTGGAAGATAGTAATTTTAAGAGATTATTAGAAATTGCTTTGTGAGATACTTTTTATAAGTATGATTTACAAATAGAGATTGTAGTTCCAGTTGCCTTCCCTTTTGTGTGTGGGGGCTGCTGCTGGTGGTGCCGTGAATGGAACCCAGGACCTTATGTATGGAAGACACACTGTATTCCCAGGCCTCATTTTACCTTCTGTTCTAAAATTGTGTGAGAGGGTACCCTTTGCCCACTGCGTGGGTTTGGAGGTCAAAAGACAGCCTTAAGTGTTGGTTCTCACCCCTGCCTTGTGTCGTGATTTTGATTTCTCTTGCTGTTTTGTGCCATAAGAGTGCTGGAATTACAGATATATGGCACCTTGTTTGGCTTTTTAAAAAATATTTATTTATTTATTTATTTATTTATTTATTTATTTATTTATTTATT